CAACACAGGCCCAGTTTTATCAATCAGGACTTAGTTGGATTCCCAAATGACAGAAAGTCTGCCTAAAGTTTACCCCTCTGCTAAAACACAAGAACAAAGCTCTCCTACTTACGCTTTTCTCTGCTGGAGCACAAAAAAACCCGGAGTTATTCTAAGGTATCCTGGTGAGAGAGATGTTTATTTGGATTATCACATCTCGAAAGGGAAGCATGCCTCCCTCAGCCAATTTAGAATTTGCCCTATAGGCCAGAAATCTTTTGCAGAGTGGATAAGTTAATTAAGAACAGTGAGGGGATGATAACGGCCTTGTATTCTGCTCCCGCTGTACAATAATTGCATTTCATACTCACTATTTGTGGCAGGGGGTCACTGTGTATCGGAGGACCGCACTCTAAGAAGATAAAAACACCTCATTATTGTACAAGAGAAGAGTGGAACGGAGCCAATTGACTGACAAATCTCTGTCTCTGAAGCAGATGGGCCCAATGTTTATTGGCTGCTTTGACAGAAATGTCATGAGAGAGGCTAATGGACAATCAATCAATCAATACTGTCTGTTTTAAATCACAGCAGAATGAGGCTTCTATTGCTATGATTTTGGAGTTTAAATACAGTTCGAGTGCATGAAATTTTAAAATAATTTTTATTTGAGTGTTTTATTCAACAGGCAATGTTTCAGTTGTGCTTTTGCAGGTTTTGTAGGTTAATGCTTAATTTAAAAGTCTAATGTACCCCAGAGTCTTCACTTAATACCTTAAGATTTTTATGCCGAATGTAGAAAGGCATTACACACCCCCACAAACCTTTTTTTCTACCTGTTTGCATTTCCTTTTAATTATACCTGATTTTTCACTTTAAACTCAAAACAACCCCCAAATGTACATGAATGATTTTCAAATAATAACTGAAGCTGAAGGGTGATCTTGGGGATTCTGTCCTCATCCAAAAAAGCACAGAATTTGCCATTTGTTGAAAGACTTCAAACAAAGTTTCTTCTGGTCATGCAAATAATTATGAAAGGCGGATAGCAGACCGTCAGAAATCGTCTTAAACCTGCACTTTTGCTAATGGCCTGCAGGAGGCAAAGAAGTCCAATAGAATTGAGCCTAATGGAGAAATGAGCTGACTTCTTACTTAATTTATTAGCTCAGTAAACGGTTTCTTCCATACAGCATGATGTTCGTTTAGTAAATGATGTTACCATTTAGAATAAAATCAAATTGTCAAACTAAACAGTGCTGATCAAATATGAATCAAGATTCTGTTACTGTGTTGATAATACGAGAATGTGTGTGACCAGGCAAGCAGCCATTGTTTCCTGCTATGGACAAGCTGAAACCAAGAGCA